TCTCCAATTCAGCTCACACTAACCAGGGCATCTTCTCTGCAGCCAGGAAAAAGAGCTAGATATAAGGCAATGATTTTCCCCAGGTCTAGGACTTGGGCCTCCAGCCCATCTATCCCTTTTGGGCCCATTCATGGCAGGTTCTGGTCTCAAAGCTGAGCTGGGGCTGGGGCAAGAGGAAGAGAAATGCAGCTGCCTGTGTCTTTACCTGATTGTCCTCAGTTTGGGGCTGTCTATTTGGAAAGAGGGAAACAGAGTATAGGAGGAAAGCAAGCTGTGACCAGGATGTCTAGAGGAGGTTCTAGCAGGAGATGGGATTGGCTCAGAGGGCCTCTGAGAGCTCTTTGAACCTTGAAATGCATTCCATAGTATTAAGAAGTGGGGGAAGGAGGTGGAGGAGGATTGGCTGGGCTTAAATTCCAGAGCGGATGGGTTTGGTGGTTGAGGCCAGCATCTGCCTCTGTTTCTGGCCTCCTAGGAAGTGCCCCCTTCTCTAGTTTCAGATCCCAGCCCCAGTGTCCATATCATACCCAGAAGATTGGACATTGTCCCACCCCATTTCTTTCCCTTTGCATTCTGGCCAAGCTAGAGCTGGCTGCTCAATGACCTTGGAAAGTCTGGCTGTAAGCCTTAGCCTGTCCCTTAGACTTTGATGGCACTGATCCTAATTCCCAGAAGGGAATTGGCTGAGTTCTGTAGTTTCCAGAGTTGGCTGGTAGTGCCTTCTAGAGGCTCAGAATATCAGCTTCAGAATACTCTAGAGAGCTGAAATTGGTCAAGGATCAAGGGGATATAGGTGAAAGGATACCAGGATGTTGCTAAAGGTGAGGCCCAGAGTGTGTGTTGGGGACTTACAAACCCATTAGGGTGATATTTGATCTGGAACCAAGTGAGACTGGGGGAAGTTAGGGTCAATATGAAAGATAGTCAGGGGTGGGTGGGGGTGCTTTGGCATAAAGGAGTGATCCCAGAAGGTTCCTAAGGTCTAAGAAATAGGGCCATGGGTCCTGTTGGTAGGAAGATGAGAGTGTGCTCCTGCTCAGTTAACGACAAGTAACTATATTTACCGAAGCCCCCACCTACTGCAGGGTCCTTTATAGCACAGGAGACTGAAGCTAACCCCCCACCACCACCACCACCACTACCACCACCACCAGCAGGAAGAGACACGGTGAAGCCCCTGCTGCAGTGGCATAGAGGGTCCACTTCTACCTGCACATCCCCCAAGGGCCAGCAGGAGGCAGCCTTGTGAAGTTGCGGCTCCTAAACCAGTCTCTGCTGTTCTCTTATTGTCACTGCCCTCTCCCACCCCTCTCACCCACTAGAGCTTGCCTGTGTTCTGCCTCTTGCCTTCTATAGAACTCGGCTCTGGCCCTCAATAAATGCTTCCTGCACTCTTTTGCCTTCTGTGTCATTTTCGATTGTATCTGAGATCCTTCCCTTCTTCCCAAGGAGGCCATGGGACTCTAGGTAGCTGGGCGTATTGGAGATACATGGGTCGGGGGGTGGAACATCCATGAGGAGAGATGAGGAACAACAGAAAAACTTGCAGCCATAGAGGAAGTCCCTGGGTTGAAGTCCTGGTCCTGTCATTGACTAGCTGGGTGATCCTGGGTGAGCCCACTCCTCCAGGCCTCAGCTTCTCCATTGGTAGACTGGGGAAAGTCTAGGCAATGTCTCAAGATGGTACTGTCCAGGCCCTGACCCCAGAGCACTGTCACTAGAGTGGGCAGGACCAGGACCCCAGTGCTCTGGGGCTGCTTCCTCATGGAGGGTCAGGGCTCTAGGGCAGGAAAAGGAGACACCATGAGAGGTCACTTCTGAGTCTGGACAATCCCAGTGAAGATGGGATTCTGATTCTCAGGAGTCCTTCTCTTGACAGGAGCATCTTTTGCTTGGAGAAGGGCATTGTGGCCCACCTGTCAGGTGAGGATAAGCCTGCCCTGGGAACATACCTCTCTCTTCCTCTCTAGAAGCTCAGGCCCAACAGAGGCAGGAAGCTAAGCTCAGGGAAGTCCACAACAGAGTCCAGGCTTCTGTGCTGAGAGAGTATCAGACAGTCTTTGCTGGTACCCAGATGCCAATGTTTCCCACCCTGGACTCGGGGCATCCTTGCTAGGTCTACCCTTTCTGGAAGTGGTTTGTGAGTCCCTGACCCAAACTTCATCTTCAGCCACGAACTTTTCTGAGGATAGTGTCCTACTGCCTCCTCTCTTCCCCATCCCCAGACACCTCAAATCAAGTTCACCCCAAACTGAACTCGGTTTCTTCCCCCACCCCTGCTTACTCCTCCCTGTTACCTGCCTTAGTTGCCTAAGCCAGAACCAGAGGTGTGAAGCTCCTCCCTTTCCTTCCTCCCAGACTCAGCCCCTGAGCCGGACCTGCAGGCTCTCCAGAGACCCTTCAATTCACTCTCCCTGCCATCTTCCCCTTGTCACTGCCCTGGCCCAGCCACCCCACTTCTCACCTAATGACAGTGAAATCCTCCTGCCTCCAATCTGGCCCCTGCAACCCATTTTCCACATAGCACCAGAGATCTCTTTGGAAAATGCCAATCTGACCACTCTATTTCCCCACTTTAATCTCTTCAGCAGCCCTTTACAGACAGAGTTTCCTTTTCAAAAGCCTGCTGGGATCTGGCCCCTGCTCACCTGTCTAGGCTCATCTCTCAGCACTGCCCCTCACCCCCAGCAGTTCTGGCTCTACTTGCCTCCCTCTACCATCCTTACACGTGACATGGTCTCTGCCTGCCACGCCCATGGCCCTTCTCTGCTCAGGGAGCTCCCATTCATCCTTCAAGGCCCAACTCAAACGTCTATTCTGGGAAGCCCTCCCAACCAGCAGCTGAGCTGCTAACTCCCTCCCCTGGACACTCCAGAGCATTTCTCAAAGCTTGTTTACTGGGCTGAATCTGACCTGGCTGAGCTCCTTGAGGACAGAGCCCCAGCCTTATTTATTTTCAGTCCTTAGGGAGGGCTCAGGGAATGTGAGAAGGTAGAGAGAAGGAGGGAGAGCAGGCCAAAGGAAGGGAGGAGGCAGAAAGAAGAAAGGCTGGAAAGAAGAAAAGAAGAAAGTAAAGGATAAATCAAGCAAAGATAGAGGAGAACAACTCATTTATCCATCCATCCCTCCCATTCAATGAATACCTACTGAATTCCTATCAGGCATTGTCTTAGGCATTAAGGATAAAATAGTTAACAAGCTGAAGCTACCAGCAGCTGACCCGTCACATTTCCAGGTGACTTTGGTGTGTGCATATGTGAGTGTGTATGTACATGTGGATGAAAGCCTTTCTGTCTGCAAGGGCCTACTGCCGGGGCACCTGTCTTCCCTGGGGCTTGGTGATTTTCGAGTCTGGCCCCAGCTCCTATTGCAGCCTGAAATTAAGCTGTGACCCACGACAAGGCAGGAATGAGTCTTGTCAGCTGAAGCCAGAGCTGGCTGCAGGGCACACCCTGCTTGCTGACCTCCTGCTGACTGCCGACACAGACACCACGGATCTCTCAGCTTCCCGACAGAGGTGTTAATTTTGAGGGTCTGATATTCCCTCCTGCCTACTGTGGTCCCATCCTCTCAGGTACTAGGATCCTAGGGGAGCTTGGGGAACTGTGGGGAGTGGGCAGAGATGCACAAGTCCCAGAGCACCTTTCCTCAGCAGAGGAAGGGCCCTGCCAAGGGTCCAGGGAGTTTGGAGCCTTGTGGAAGCCTGTATTCTGGATTGGGAGGACACGCAGCTAAGCTCTAGGTTACTCCACATTAAATGGGGAGGGGGTGGCTAGCCTTGGAGGTGGGGGTTAGGTAATGGCTCTGCTCAGGATTTCAGGATCTTTAGGCAGTAGAGGGGAGTAACTTCCTTGTCTATCAAATGAGAGAGCCTTCCTAGCATCTGTGATTTTCTGTAAGGGATAGTGTTTATCAAGAAACAGATCTGTGGACTGTGGCTTCCTAACATCACAGAGCCTTCTCAATCATCTCATGACCCTCACCCCAAATGCATGCAAACACACTCATGCTTGCATACTGTTTTAGGGGGGTTGTGGCTGCCCTAAAGCTCATCCGTGGATCCCCATGATTTAGTCCAACCTCCTTATGTTAGAGAAGGGGAAACCAAGACACAGAGCTGGAGAGCTACATGTTCAGAGTTACTGAGGAAGTCAAGGACATACATTAGACTCCAAGTTGCCCAGCTTAGTGGGTGTGTGGGGCACAGACAGAGGCAGATCATTTTCTAAAGGAGTATGGGAAACCTGAAGTACAGGAGAGGGGCTCTGGGGTGACTAGTCAGGCAGGGACCTCAAGAGTTCTGCCTTTTCTCCTGGGGGCAAGTTAGAGAACCTGGATTTGAGACCTGCAGGGGTTCTCCAGGCTCTCAACCTCATTGGATTTGTGAATCTCTTTCAAGATTCCTGGGAAGTGTTATGAGATACAAATGGAGGGACAGAGGGAGAGGGAGAAAAGGGGTGAGGGAACAGAGAGCGCACAGGAGGTAGCCCAGGGATGGGGAGACAGGGAAGATGGGTGGTGGTTTTCTCCACTTTGCTGGGCCAGCCTGTGCCCTCAAGCCTTAGAGCGAAGTACCAGGAACAGGAAGGGAGCCCCTACCTTGCAGACCCCAGGGTAGCCACAGACTATACTCCCTTACCCCAGCTTTTGATTAGTGCTCTCCTGGGTCAGCAGATAACAGTGGTGCCTGAGACCCCTGTCCCCTCACCCCAGTTGTCCCAGGCACCTACTTGCCTCTGACCAGGTTGCTAGCCTGGGGAATGCCCTAGAAACCACCCCAGAAGAGAGAGCTAATTCCCTAGCAATGCAGAAGTTGATTTGTGCAAACTGAGCACTTCCCTCTTGCACCCTGGGCCCCAGCCTCCTCTGAACTGAAACCCCCGAGGCCCTTCCAGTTCAGACCTCCCTTGCTTGTGACATTAGAGTAGACCAGAGGTTTGCAGGGAGGTCTGGGGATGGGAGGCAGCCTGACCCATCTGTGCATATCTCTCCTTCACAGGATGATCCCTGAGGTGCAGAAGGGGCCAGTGATGATGGCTGTCATGGGGGACCTTGCTGGACCAGGTAAGGCAGGCCCAGCCCAGTGCTTTCTTCAGACTCCATCCTTTCTCAGGCCCAGACTGGTGCCCACTCTGGCCTTCTGGACCCAGGCATGGGCAGACAGATGTGAGTTCCAGGCCTATGTGAGGGAGAGCCTGTGGAATCTGCTGCCTGGGCTCAGAAGCGTCCCGAGGCACTGGGAGTGGCCTTGCCCTGTGTCCACTGACTGACCCAGGAGCTAAGGTTGAGTGCCCCAGCCTGTGCCCTGTACTCAGCCAAGGCCTTACCTCAGCCCTAAATTGAGCCTGAGGGTCCTAGTCCCCGGTCAGCCTTTCCTCTGGCCATAAGCTCCTCACACACTCATCCTTATTTATTGTGATTCTGAGTCTCATCAAGGCCTCAGGACAGCGCAGGTGGACTAGCTCCCTGGAGGGGGTCAGGATGGAAGAGCAGGCTGCCTAATTGCACTCAAACCTTTCTACTTAACAGCCAGCTCACGTAATGAACAAATCATCTACAAGTCTATCAACTTTGTAAAACCTTTTGGTATAATTTTAGAATCTGTTTACTTTAGAAAACTTCGAGCATTTAAGGAATTAATTCAATTAAGTCTTTGCCTCCAAAGCTGTTTCTTTACTATATAGTTATTCAATAATATAATACAATATTGATACATCAATTTTTTAAAATATTCATTTGCCATTGACTTGATGTAAATAAAATTCAGACAAAACAGACATGAATGACTTTGAAGCTGGAAGTTCCTCCTGACAGAACCATCTGGAGATAACCACTGTTAACATATTTGTGTAAATTCTTCTTCTGTTCTCATATATATATTTATGTAAATGCATATACATGTGAGCTAAATACTATCTGCTGTGTTCTTTGGTTTTCTTGTTTTGTTTTTCATCTAGCAGCATACCAATCTAATATGATTTGTCTAGCTGCCTCCTTCCCCTCTGCTCCTCGGCATACCACTGTTTGGACATGTCACATAAATTTAACATCCCCAAATGGTGGCCATGAAGCTTGTCATAGGTGGGATGCTTAGGGGCGGAGCCCAAGGACTCTTATGCAAGTGACTTATTGTGGGAGTGTTCTTAGGAGAGGGGAAGTAAGGAAGGCGGCATGGGGTGGGGGGGGATTGCTCAGCAGAGTCCATAGTTCAGTCTGACCCTGTAGGGCTCTCCAGCCTGAACTGCTCCACAGAATTCATCTGACCTGGGGGCAAGGAAGCTAAGGCAGTTTCCCTTCACTGAGACTTTCTCTGCAGAAGGTGACAGTGTGAACCATCAGCCACTAATAAAGGGCAAATGGGCAGCATCCACCACAATTTTAAACCCCATTGCAATACACTTCCTTGTACCTGTATCTTTGGACATATTTATTCAACTTTTTCCCTGAGAATAAATTCCTAGAAATAGAATTAATCAAATAGATTTTATCTTTAAAAAAATGCACTCAGTTTATCTGCCTGGCATTTGAGACTATGGTATCATTTATTATGTATTTAGGTATAGATATTCTTTCATGGCTCGGCACCAGTAGCTCAGGGAGTAGGGCTCCAGCCACATACACCAAGGCTGGCAGGTTTGAGCCCAGCCCAGGCCTGCTAAACAACAATGACAACTGCAACAAAAAAAATAGCTGGGCATTGTGGCAGGCACCTGTAGTCCCAGCTACATGGGAGGCTGAGGCAAGAGAATTACTTAAGCCCAAGAGTTTGAAATTGCTGTGAACTGTGATGCCATAGCACTCTACCAAGGGCGACATAGTGATACTTTGTCTCAAAAAATACATACATACACACACACATATATATATATTCTTTCATATTTTTAAATAGGCAATACACTTTCTTCTTAAAAACAGTATGATTTCACCTAGTCTCTTAGTCTCTTAGGGTAAAAAATAAAACAACAAAACAAACAGTAATGACAAAACAGTGTAAACAATTTTTAGGCTCCCTCCTTCCCATGCCCCATAAATAGTCACTGCTAATATTAATATTTGGTGATCTCTTCCTGGAGTTTTCAATGCATGCACAAACATCTATCTGCGTTTTAACATATAAATAGGATCTTACAATACATGTTCTTCAGAAACTTATTTCTCCCCATCCCAATTAACCTACAGTGGATTTCTTTCTGTTCTTTGCATGTACCTCTTTATTATTATTTTTATGTCTAGTGTGTACCTCTTTATATATTTACTGAAAGAATGAAAGAAAAGCAACCTCTTTTTTGAACGGCTAGTTAGAATTCCACGAATGAAGTGACACATGTCACCTGAACAACCCTCAATGCTGCCAGGTAGCCACGTCCATCTCTAGTCCATTCACCCTCCCATACTATTCTCTTAGATGACTTTGGCGCCCCCTCCTTCCTCTCCCCTCAAACCTCCAATACGCCTCAAACATCCTCATTCTCAGCTAATGACCTGGCCTCTTATTTGCCTGAGAAAAATGAAGGACCTGGAAGTGAATAGAACTCGTGCAAGCACTCTCCTTGCATCCCTGCCTGTGTTTGAGGTTTTCCTTTCAGATACTGTAGTTGAACTCCCCTCACATCTGCCTGGTGCCAACTTCTCTGGTTCGGTACCCGACACTCTGCCCTCCTCTGGCTCTGTGCAAGAACGGTCCTTCAGCAATTCTCCTTCATCTCTGCTGTTCCCATCAGCTAACACACATGCTGTTACTTCTCCCTCTTTACAAACAAAGCCCTCTCAATTCCATAGCTGCCTCCATCTACGGTCCTTTAAAGCAAACTCCCACAAGCAGTTGTTTATATTTTTCTTCCCACCCTCTCATTCTCTCTTTTTAATATTTTATTAAGTCAATTCCCAAACATACACAAAGTAGAGAGGACACATCCCCACGGCCCCTCCTTTATTCCTAAATTCCAAGGCTAATACCGAAGAGCATGTCATTTCATCTCCCAAATTCTTCTGAATGCATCAAAAATAATAAAAAGGACATTGCTTACATGCCACAAAGATATTAGCCCGGTGAACACAATTAGCCGTAATGATTTAATACCACTTAATACGCAGTTCTATACTCAACTTTCTCCAGTTTTCTAGTTTGTTTTAATCAGGATCCAAACGAGGGCCACAGTTTTTATTTGGTTGCTATGGCTCTTAAATCTCCTTTAATCTAAAACAACCCCACCTCCCCTTTTTTTCCATGTCATTCATTTGTTTGTTAAACCAGGCCAGTTGTCCTGTAGAATGTCTTACATCCTTGGATTAAGCTCATTGCTTCCTTGTGGTGTGGCTAACCTTGTTCCTCTGTCCATTTTCTGTTGAACCCTCTCCAATCAGCCTTTCACACCCAAACATTCCATGGAAACTGCTTTAATGAAGATTACTAGTATGACCTCTTGTTGCTACAGAGAACAGCCGATTTTCAGTGCTCATCTTACTTGACATACCAACAGCATTTGACTCCCTTGGTCTCTTAGGGTCCCTGAAATGCTTTCACCATTTGTGTACAGGGCACCACGCTCTCTGCCCCACTGGATGCTCCTTCCCAGACTCCAGGCCTACGTCCTTCATATCGCCTTAGTCTAAATGTTGGAGGCTCCAGGGCTCAGGCTTTGGCTGTCTCATTTTTTTTCATGATCTCACCCTATCTTAAATATCATTTATACAGTTGGAATATGAACCCAGGTGTATCTGATTTTCTTTTCTTTTTTGAGGAAGAGTCTCACTATGTCTTCTTGGATAGAGTGCTGTGCTGCCATAGCTCACAGCAACCTCAAACTCCTGGGCTCAAGCAATCTTTTTGCCCCAGCCTCCTGAGTAGCTAGGACTACACGCACCTGCCACAATACCCAGCTAATTTTTCTATTTTTAGTAGAGATAGGGTCTTGCTCTTGTTCAGGCTGGTCTTGGAACTCCTGAGCTCAAGTGACCCACCTGCCTCAAACTCCCAGAGTGCTAGGATTAGAGGCGTGAGCCATCGGGCCCTGCCCAGTGTATCTGATTTTAGAGATGGACAATGCAAGCCGTGCTGCCCACACAGGATTCTCTCCTGCCAAGGTCCTCACCCTTCTTATCCCTACTGTCTTCCAAAAGGCTTCTCATGTTGGTCAATATAAAAGTATGCATTTATCTGGTGGAGAAAGCACAAAGGATAGCGATGGGTTCCAAACTACTAAGGATAGTCATCAACTCTGAAAATTCTGTATATGTCTGTAATAACTAAACCTAACTATGAGATAAGAATTAATTATAATGTTCTTCCTTGAGTAACAACAACAAATTCCATTTATAAGCTCATGATGCCCACATTTTTATCTCCAAGTTAATTTTGTCTCATGACCCCCACATTCACATGTCCAACTCCTCCCTCAACATCTCAGCTGGATGTCTACCAGGCTCTCCAAACTCAATGTGTCCAATTTCAGAGAGTTTGAATAAGGACTGAAAGTAGATAAAATAAAAATTTGTTCACTTGGAAAGATGAAGGTGTTTAAGTGATAAAAACCAGCTACAAGCCTATATGCTATGATTTTGGTTTGGTTAAAACATACGAATACATAGTCATTAGAAAAGGTATGAAAAGACATAGACTAAGGTGTTAAGGATGGAAATCTCTGGGTGATAAATAATTGTACTTCTACCTTTTTTTCTATCTATTTTCTGACTTTCCTCAATGCACATATATGCTGTTTTTTTTTTATAATAATAAAGACTACTTCAAAATTAAAAGAACACATCTAAAACCAAACTCCTGATCGTTCCCCAAACTTTCTCCCCCCTCGGCCTTTCCCTGTCTGTGAGAAGCTGCCCCATCCTTCCAGTGGCTCAGGCCAGGGGCCCTGCAGTCACCCTCAACTCCTCTCTCTCTAATATCCCATATTCATGGTTTACCTTTAAAAAAAAATCTAGAACCTGATCATTTCTCACTACCTCCACCACTAAGGGCAAAGAACTACAGGGAATTCATGGAATAAATGCAAATGGCCAACGAACTTCTGAAACAGGGTGCAATTTCAGTGAGTACCAAAAACACATGCAAATTCAACTCTGAGGAGTCATTTTTGTTTATCAGATGGCAAACATTTCAAAAAATGATGACCCCCGGCATTGGCAGGTGTGGGGAGAAAGTGTACAAGGCATTCGTACACACAGCGTGGGACGCTGTGATGAGGTGCCTCGAGAGGCAGCACCTGGAGTGGGGGCTGGGTGGTAAGTACCCCCTCTGGCCTCTCCCGGCAGTCCCTTCCCTGGACCTGGGCAAGAAGCTGAGTGTGCCCCAGGACCTGATGATGGAGGAGCTGTCACTACGCAACAACCGAGGGTCCCTCCTCTTCCAGAAGAGGCAGCGTCGTGTCCAGAAGTTCACCTTTGAGTTGGCAGCCAGTCAGCGGGAGGTAAGTAAGCTTCCATGTCACTCTTGGGGAAACTGAGGTCCAGAGAGCCATTGGTTAGGCTAAAGCCAAACAATGAGCCACGCTGGAGACTGTGATGTTCCGGATTGAGCCCCTTCTTTTCTGTGTGATCCCTGAAAAGTGTTACCTCTTCGGGCATCTTCCCAGATTCAAAATGAGCTGGTGTAAAGGGACTCTGGCCAGAGAACAGCCATGTTCTCTAGGCTAAATTTGCAGCAGGCAAGATCTAGTTCAGACTTGAGCTTTATCTAAGAAGGAAAATGCAGGATGCCTTTTTTTTCCTTCTTCTCCCTGGGGGAGAGTGAAAGGCCATAGAATAATCGGCTGGTAGAGAAATAAGCAAGAATGGTTTTCCCAGGCTTCAGGAAGGCAGCAGGCAGCTTCAGGTACTTCTAATGAAG